TTTGTGGTTTTCACAAGAGGATCTGTCATCTTTCCTGTAAATCGGTATGATCACCGATTCGCTATAGGCTAATCAGATGAAAGAGTACCTCATTATTCCGGGGTCAACGAATGTTGAACCATTTTATTTCCTAAAAAGGTTGATGTTGATTAAGATATAAGACCGGGTGTCGGTCGTATGCTGTACAATTGACCGTTGTAATTGCATCAAGTGACACGCTATACATCGATTGGAGACGGTTTAAACGATAAACTCATATCGTCAAACCATTTGGTACATTTTTTTTTGGCTTCAGCGTTTTCAGTGAACCATGTTTTTATTATTTAATGAATAATAACTGAATTAAAGCATTCAAAAAGCTCTCCAGTTTAAATTTACTGAAAGCCTCTTCTGGTGGGGTGAAAAAAGGACTGTTTGATGAAAGAAATTGAATTGGTGTTTGGCATGTAACTGCGCACCCGAAGTCCTCCGATGAACAGACGCATTGTCAAATATATGCCTAAGAAGTCCTTCTCCATTCTAACCTTTAACTGTAGGGCTCTCATCGACAACATCACAAATGTTTTGTGAACTCTTCCTTGTATTTCACCTTGTAAGATCTCGGTTTGATTATTGTTTCCCCATCCGTGGCTGCAATTTCACGACATGTTTCGATCTTAATGCCAAGATGTTTTGCAACTTCTTTCAAATCATCACTTCTGCGTGCACATTCAGTTACTTCCCGTCGGTCTTCCGCGCTGGTGGCCTTTTGATCTATTCACTTCTCAAAAACGGAATTCACTTCAGCTGGAGATATCGAAGAGTAAACATTCACATTTTTGGGTATCACTTTTTGATTTGCTTCAGCGCTTGTGAATGCAAAACAATGTACCATTTGTGTTACATTTGAAATTTTTACTCTCAGGAATATCGTATGCTATACGGAAACACTGGAGTTGTACGAGATTTGTCAAATCGTTTGACAATACAGACATATCGTTTAAACCTCAGAAATTGGTGCAGTATGCGACCGCCACATCTTTTCATTTCTTAACCAAGCATTCCCACAAACATTAATAGAAAATAAACTGTTTCAACATTCACTGGTCCGGGAATATTGCGATACTCCTTGATCTGAATTCGCCTACAGCGACATGACTAAAGTTTGTGCTGCGAAGCTAAAGGACTACGCGGCGTGGCTAAAGCACTGCAAGTTTCGATTAAGGGAATGTGGGTCAAAACTAGAGAATTGCGAGTTTTGGCTAAAGCTCAATGGGAAAAGGTGTAGATGTAAGTTCCAAGAGGCCCAGAACTTACTGAATCTTGCGAATCGTTCACTTCTCTCAGATTATTCTACCTGCAAAACATTGGCTTAGAAGTACTGTAATAATTCTACCAAATTTAAAAGGGTCCTGAGCAGTGAATTCAGACCAGTTACGTAATCGTCTAGGTTCGGTACATTCACTCCGTTTGTTCCGGTGCACAGGTAGCTCAAAAAGGTTAGCTCATGAATAGCAATTGGATAAGCCCTGAGTTACGGATCAAGAAAGTTTCACATAAAGGTCAGAACAGTGCCAAAATGAATCCGTTGGGTTAGTTTGTTGTTATTCGATTAAATTTAGTCTCCTTTGGATGGCAAAATGTCTGCAGCCTCGGCGGGACTCTAACCCACGCATGGACGCCGCCTACGCTTTTGTACAGCGCACACTCTACCGGCTGAGCTACCAGACTACATCGATGGCACTGATCTTTTCACATACAAATCACTCATCCAATTTACAGAGGCATATTGAATCCATTAGACACCATACAAGCTGACTGCCACGCGGCAGGTTTCCCTTAGAATCCACCGATTGTACTTCTTAGTCATGGTTAATTGTTCCGTTTGTTGCTTGGTGAATCAAATTCTTCTTTTGAATTGTATAAAGTTCAGTGAAAAGCTCAGTGTTACCTGGGTGGCCTCGTGTGCGTTGTACAAGAGTGTAGGTGGCGTCCATGCGCAGGTTCGGATCCCATAATGGTTACTGAACTTTTCACAATTTTAATTTAAGATTTCAATCTGTCAAACGACAT